GGTATTTTAATTATTTTTCCCAATAAGAAGTGATATATGGCATTGATCACATAGTTTCTAAAGTTTGGAAAGCTAGAAATGCAGATAGTATTGCTAACGGTATGCTAGCAAACATGGTTCATAATACACAATATAAGCAAGAAAAAAAGTTGCAGTATGCATTAAATAATGCTTTTTTCACTCCTTGTATTCTGAAGTCATAGTCTAAAAAGATTGAAATAAAATTGCATGTAATTCACGTTTTGTTTTAAGTCTTAGCCCATGAAGATAACAAAACAATCTCTCAAAAACTATATTTGTATAAAATCTGCTTTCATAGTACTCTGTTGTTATAAGACTCATAATGAAGGGGGGTTTCCAGAAAAATTGCACCTAAGTTCACCACCAAAATATCTATATATGACAATAGTTTGGGTAAACTTATGGAAACATAACAAAAACAGAAATAAAAAAGAAGGAAAAGGGGGTTGACTACATTCAAAGACACACTACGGAGTGGAATGGTCTTGTTTGTGTTGGAAGTGGGAAAAGGCTTGCAGGAAGGCCAGTCCAAATAATTTTTTGCTTGATCAACTAAGTAATTTTTTTGGACTGGCATGAAGGCTAGTCCAGGACTCCCATGTTCATTTTTATCTCAAATTAAATGCATATCAATTTATTAAGCAGACTTCGATTTCAATATCCCTAATGCTTTAGTGGATAGTGTTAGGAATATTGATATTATAATGCGAGTTTAACCGGATAAAAATCCAGAGTTTAAAAAATCACCAGAAAAACCGTCAAATGCAAGAAAAGAAAATAATAATAATTAGAATAAATTAAAATGAAAAAGAGAAAAGATAAGAAAACTTATCGCAGGATCGCCCGTTAATACGGACTAGCCTTGAAGACAGATAGGCCCCGTATCCCGATAGCTATTCGGACGGGTCTGGCAAGCTCGCTCCCAGGATAATCCTACCACGTTTCAGACTCGTAGCTATCTTGATTGAAACCTTCGACCGTTGCCCGATTTGCCGATAAAAGAGATGAACACAAATAAGAGAAGCATATAGTATGTATATAAGGTATCAATATGGCTTCTCAAGGAAAACTAGGAAAGTGGAATAACTCTCACAAAGAGATACTCAAAGTATCTCACGTGATGTATGTATACAAATTGTGAGTGCCTTTAGAGAATGAACAAAAGCAAAAGAGTTAGTGCTCCCTTATGTGTAAAAGTTAATACGGAGTATGATGCAGCAGATTGTATCTTTTGGAAATCAAATATTCATATATAAGCACACTAACCTATGCATGGAGACATGAAGTTAAAGCTAGTCGCACGTCCTTAACGTTTTCAATTCAATGATCTGGCAACGACAGTTTTAAATGCAATTTCAAACAACCATAAACCCTTTCAAAGTAACGTACCCAGTTTTTAAAACTAGAGTAAAACCATTTCAGGTTTGTGCAACCACAAAATTTATGTCGAATAAAATAAATAATTGTCTCTCCACTTAATATATCTATTCAAACTTGAGTAACTTGAACGTGCAAGATAATATTTTGAAGCCTTACATGATACTTGAACAATAATGTTCCTTATCACATATTATATTAACCAGGACAAGAGACAATTTATTTATAATATTGAAAATAAGACCCACTTCAATATTAATACACCACTTCACAACATTTACACCTATGGATTAATGAAATAAATCTAAATATGTAAGTTGTTCTTTGACGTATAAAATTATCTCCATTTCTTATACATGTTATACAATTATATCTTAGAACTCAAAATTGAGCATCTTCATAATAATATTTGTATCATCATATTTCCATCAACCCCCCACTAATCCATAGTCGTAGACTCAACTCTAAAACATATAGTGTGCTTTCGAATATGGTACCTTCCGGTTTGAACCATCTTCTAAGCTCTTACCCCTAACCCCCGCAGGAACTAAGTGAACATAGTTCTTGAACTTGAACCTTGATTGTGTTGGCGTGGGATAAAAGAACACACTAACGGCAATGGCAACGATATATAGGGGTGACGCTTTTACGGCCATGTGTCCTAATCCTGTCTCAAGAATGTCATTGAGAATTAACCCTTATTCTCTTATTGCGGCCACACAATGACATTCTCATAGTTGGGCAACTCCAAGAGTGCATTGCTAACACTCTGCAATTAAGCTCGATCCCATTCAGAGTCTTAAACTCTTACTAACTTAGCAACTTCAGCATCTCCAAGGCTTATCAAGGAATAGAACTCATAAAATTATTTTTAATGAGATGCACAATTCACTCTACAGTTTGTTTATACCACATTGAATCTACTTTATGGGATCTCCACTCAGATAGGTTGGGTTGCCACTGTAGATGAATAATTATTGGGTTTCAGTCTCATTCCTAACCTTGATTTTATCACTTGATTTAAATCAAGTCCTTTTGTTAAAGGGTCTGCTGTATTATCTTTGGATCCGACAAAATCAACAGCAAACACTCCTTGAGACACAAATTTCCTTATAGTTTTTAATCTAACTTGTCTTCTAGTCTTTTGATTATACTTGGTACTCCTAATTTTTGCAATTGTACTCGTACTATCACAATGCAAACAAATAGGTGGAATTGGCTTGCTGAATATAGGTAACTCGGACATTAGTCCCATAAACCATTCAGCCATAATTCCTGTAGTATCGAACGCACATAATTCAGCCTCAAAAGTAGACCGAGAAAGTACATTTTGTTTAGTGGACTTCCAGGCAACAGCCCCACCACCAAATGTAAACACATAGCCAGTACACCCATAACTCTCGGAGTTCTTAGCTATCCAGCTTGCATCACTATATCCATCAAGAATGGAGGATATTTACCATAATGCAAACACAAGGAAATAGTTCCTTTCAAGTATCTAAATACTCTATTTAAGGCCTCCCAATGAGTTCTGTTTGGACAGCAAGTGTACCGACTCAGTTTAGACACTGAAAATGCAATATCAGGTCTAGCACAGTTAGCTAAGTAACCCAAGCTACCAATCATCTGAGAATATTGTAATTGAGACACAGGAACACCACTTTCATTTTTATACAAAGCTACTGAAGGATCATAGGGTGTTTTAGCAATTCTACTATTTTTAAATCCAAATTTCTCAATTAATTTTTCAATATAATGTGACTGAGAAATAGAAATGCCTTCAGTTGATCTAGTCAACTTTAGCCCAAGAATTACTTCAGCCACCCCCATATCCTTCATTTCAAACTTTTTTTCAAAAATGACTTAGTCTCAAAATTAATATTATCATTCGTGCCAAATAATAATATATCATCAAAATATAGGCATAAAATAATGCTTATATTACCTTTACATTTATAATAAACACTTTGATCAGCATCTATAAGAGTAAATCCAAATGAAAAAATTATTTTAACAATTTTTTCGTTCCATTGCTTAGGGGCTTGCTTAAGTCCATATAAGGACTTAACTAATTTACAAACTTTTCTCTCACTCCCTTTTGTCACAAATCCCTCAGGCTGGTCCATATAAATTTCTTCTTCAAGGTCACCATGAAGAAAAGCTGTCTTAACATCCATTTGATAAATTTTAAGACCATATACAGAGGCCAATGCTATGAGCATTCTTATCGTGGTCATTCTTGCAACATGAGCATATGTATCGAAAAAATCAATACCTTCTTTTTGTTTATAACCCTTAGCAACTAATGTGGCCTTATATTTATCAATGGTTCCATCTCATTTTATCTTCTTTTTAAAAATTCATTTACATCCAATAGTGGTACAACCAGGAGGAAGGTCAACGAGCTCCCATGTTCCATTTTGAACAATAGAGTCCATTTCACTTTTAATGGCATCCTTTCAATTAATGACCTCGGATGTGGCCATTGCATCTCTAAGGAAATTGGATCACCCTCAATATTGTAAGTGATAAAATCACTTCCAAAATCCTTAGTGATCCTAGCTCGTTTGCTCCTTGACTCATCTAGATCATTTGATTCAAAATCAATATGACTAGAATTACTAGATTCTACCCACACATTTGTCATCTTTTCCACTTGATCAAGAATTGAATTAAATGTGGTTTCTTGATTTTTAGAAGAATTATTTTGGGGCACACCCGTTTTCATTGGAAAAACATCTTCAAAGAAAGTAGCATCACGAAGTTCTACAATAGTATTGACATCTATGCCAGAAATTTCAGATTTAATAACCAAAAATCTCAATGCACAAGAATGTTCAACATAACCAATAAAAATAGCATCAACAGTTTTAGGCCCAAGTTTCTTTTTTTTGTGTTCAGGGAGTAAAACTTTTGCAAGACAGCCCCACACTTTAAAATATTTCAAACTTGGTTTTCGGCCCGTCAAGAGTTCAAATGGACACTTATCTTTATGTTTCATGGGAATTCTATTCAGAATATGGCATGCAGTATTCAAGGCTTCCCCCCACATAAATTTAGGTAATCTAGAATTCTCTAATGAACTGTTAATCGTATCTTTAAAAGTTCTATTTTTCCGTTCAGCTACTCGATTTGATTGTGGTGAATAAGGAGGTGTTTCTTCATGTACTATACCATGTTTTTGGCATTCTAGTACAACTAAATTAGAAGTATATTCTCCTCCTCTATGAGATCTTAACCTTTTAATTTTCTTGCCAGTTTGATTCTCTATTTCATTCTTAAAAATTAAGATTTTTTCAAGAGCTTCATCTTTACCCTTAAGTAGATACACATAGCAATATTTAGAATAATCATCAATAAAAGTGATAAAGTATTTCTTTTGGTTATGAGAAAGCACTCCATTAAACTCACAAATGTCGGTATGAATTAAATCAATTAATTCTGAATTTCTATCAATTGAATGATAAGGTTTTCTTACTTGTTTAGTAGTAGCACATATCGTACATTTCTTAGTTTTATCAATACAGTGCTTAGGGATTAAATTTAAATTCATCATTCTTTTTACAGAATCTAAATTAACGTGACCCAAACGACAATGCCATAAACAAGAAGAATCACAATTCTCAGATACATAATTCAATTCAAAATAATCAACCACAATCTTAAAAAGTCCATCCGACAAGTAACCCTTGCCAATAAAAGTTCCCCAAATTAAATTACAACTTTATTTAATTTAAAGGACAATTCATAACCCTCCCTAACAAGAATGGAACCACTAACAATGTTCCTTCTAATTTCGGGAACGTGATGACCCCATGCAAGGACATAATTTTCCCGGAAGGAAATTTTATTTCTACTTTTCCAATTCCTTGCACACTTGCAGCACTTGTGTTCCCCATCATCACTGTTTTTCCAACCGCAGGTTGATAAGAAACAAAGAGCGATTTATCAGCACATACATGCACATTCGCTCCTGTATCTATTAGCCACTCATTGGAATTATAAATAGTGAAAACTTGAGGGTTAAAAGAAACATACCCATCGGAACTAGTTACTCCAGTCACCATGTTGACATGAGATCCAACAGATTGAGCCTTAGCCTTTTTATTTGGGCACAATTTGGCCAAATGCCTCATCTGTCCACAATTCCAGCATGGACGGATTGCCTTTGGTTTCTTTATAATTTTTAGTTTGGCCTTTATTGGTTTAAAAGATGATGGTTGTTTATTTGTAGAATTTTGTGATTGTTTTCCCCCGGTCAACACATGAGCCTTTGGCTGAAATTCAACCGACGCAACATAACCCGCTTTCTTATGTTCCTCCTCAACATTAATGGAATGCATCAAAGATTTCCAAGTGATCTTTTTCATTTTATGTTTTAAAGTCATACCAAAATCTTCCCATGATTTGGGAAATTTTTCTATGACCGACATCACTTTAAATTTTTCAGGCAATTTCATATCCGCTTCACGAAGAGAATGTACGATAAGCTCAAATTCTTGTGTCTGTTCTAACACTTATTTACCTTCTTTCATGTCAAATCGTAGGAATTTAGAAACAATATACTTTTCAAGACCGTGGTCCTCAGTATTATATTTCCTATCCAACTCATCCCAAAGGTCCTTAGTCGTGCCATGGAGGGTGCAATAGACATCAAATAACATGTTGGAGAGACCCAACAAAATCACGCCTTTTGCAATTTCATCCCTCTCACGCCATGAAGCTTGGCGTTCAAGACTTTTGGGATCCGATTCAACAACGGGGGGACACACCGTCATAATTACCGAGAGCAGGCCCTTGGTGATTAACCAAATTTTCATGCGTTGTTGCCAACATGGGATTTCTGGCATTCCGGTTAAATCAACCTTGTGTGAGCCCGTAGCAACATATTTAGATGTGTCTCCACAATTAGTCACAGACACAGAATTAACATTATTTTGAGGGATATCATTCACATCATTCTCAACAACAACATTTTCGGAAACAACTGCATTTTCCAAGTTTGTCATTTTTGGATTTTCCAAAACTCGAGAAATAATATCTTTCTTCAAGATTGTTAGGAATATTGATATTATAATGCGAGTTTAACCAGATAAAAATCCCGAGTTTAAAAAATCACCAAACAAACCGCCAAATGCAAGAAAAGAAAATAATTATAATTAGAATAAATTAAAATGAAAAAGAGAAAGGATAAGAAAAATTATCGCAGGATCGCCCGTTAATACGGACTGGCCTTGAAGAAAGATAGCCCCCGTATTCCGATAGCTATTCGGACGGGTCTGGCTAGCTCGCTCCCAGGATAATCCTACCACGTTTCAGACTCGTAGCTACCTTGACTGAAACCTTCGACCGTTGCCCGATTTGCCGATAAAAGAGATGAACAAAAATAAAAGAAGGATATAGTATGTATATAAGGTATCAATATGGCTTCTCAAGGAAAACTGGAAAAGTGGAATAACTCTCACAAAGAGATACTCAAAGTATCTCACGTAATGTATGTATACAAATTGTGAGTGCCTTTAGAGAATGAACAAAAGCAAGAGAGTTAGTGCTCCCTTATGTGTAAAGGTTAATACCGAGTATGATGCAGCAGATTGTATCTTTTGGAAATCAAATATTCATATATAAGCACTGTTGGGATATTGGCCTAGAGGCCCAATACCCAGTTCGGGAAGGCCCAAGGTGTCCGGCCCAAGTAACAAGCTCATCACTCTATGATGAAAAGATCCAGTAAGGAGACATACCGAACGGGGTTCGGCCCAAATAAAGGTTGGCCCAATAAGAAGACATACCGAACGAGGTTCGGACTATATATTATACTTGGGCCAATTTGACAGCATCTTCAGTACGGACCAACATCCCGTTCGAGCAATGGCCAACCAGCAAGTGGCCAGGTGCAGTTAATGCCAGACTATGACATCAGCAAGTGGAAGCATGGATGACCAAGTCGGTGGAACAACGGCCAATCAGCAAGATGCAGCCCATGCTCTCCATTAGTATAAATAGAAGGTTTCAAGTCATTGTAAGGGTTAGCATTTCAATACTCAAGCTCTAGAATAGCATCATTCGCTCTTATTTCTTGTATTAAGGCATAGTTTCCGACTTATCGATCAGGAAATCCCTTGTAATCAGATTGGTTAATTAATACAAGTGAGCTTTCGAGTTTTAGTTAGTTCAGATCTTATATTTTCTCGTACACCTTGATTCTGGGCCATTCCTGATATATCCAAAGTTCGTGTTGGGCTTTCGGATCTACGGGACTTACCCTCAACATTGGCGCCGTCTGTGGGAAACTTGCAAAAAGTTTCACTTTCTAAACATCCAAAAAACCTCTATTTCTAAAAATGGTCAGAATCAATTCCTATCATACAAACGACAGTTCACACCGTCACGGGAGGAGTCACACCTCGGGGAGTCAAAACCCCCAGGGACAATCCAGTCGAGGATCCTATCCTCGTGTTAATGGGGATTTTGTGATCCCCGAATCTCTGAGGAGAAATCCCCAGGCCATGCGTGACATGGCCCAATTCATGCAGCACATGGCAAACGAAGAAGAAGGAGGTTCCAGCTTTACAGGAGAAACTCCACGCGCGGAAACAGCCACAGCGTCATCCCGCTCACATACCCATCGGGATAATCGACGTAGCGCCCCACCAGCAGCCCATCCCAGTCCCAGTGACCGAACCCCGGTCGGGTTGCAAGCTAGAGGACCAACTCCCGTCGGTCATCATTTCCAGTATGCCGAGCGGGAAAATACTAGGGCCCCTCATCGGACTTGGGACCGGGACTGTGCGGATATGAGGGTTCCACCACCGCCCCCTTTGACGGCCCAGGAGGAAGAGATGGCCGAAATGAGGAGGCAAATGAATGAAATGCGGGACCAGATGAACAGGGTACCTGTACAACCTGCACCAGTCCAACTGGGGATTACTTCCCCGTTTACTAGGGAGCTCATGTACGCGGATATCCAAGGGGGTGCCAAGCCCCCGACCGGCCAAATCTATGATGGGGTGGGAGATCCCCACGTACATCTGAGGAGTTACCAAGGCGGACTTATGCTGCTAGGAGCACCCGAGGCTGCCATTTTCCGTTTGTTTTTCAGCACGCTCAGGGGGCCTGCCCAGGAATGGTTCGGGACACTACAGCCCGAGTCAATCAATAGCTTTACCGAGTTATCAACGTTATTCTTGGCTCAATTTGCTTCCAGTGCCAATCCCAAACGGCACTTCAGCTATCTGACCAGCGTGAAGCAAAACGCCAAGGAGACCCTCAACCAATTCCTGAAAAGGTGGAGGGATGAAACTTTAACAGTGGGAAGCATGACGGATGATACCGCCATCACCCTGTTCACGAATGCTCTCCGAACGGGGGAGTTGTACAAAGAATTGAAGAAGAATCCGGGCACGGCGTACGCCGAAGTATTAGATAGGGCGCGCAAGCATGCCGCCCTAGAAGAAGAAATAATGATCAGGGATAAGGTCATTACGCCTGCTGCCCCGATCAGACTGGCCGATCGGCTGGGTCCTAGCCCAGCGGCCACTTTACCTCCCAAACAAGGGAGATTTACACCCCTGGTCCTATCAATAGCGGCCATCTATCAGAACGAGAGGGACAATATTCCCATCCCGACTGATTCTGGACAGTTCATGGGAACGGATGACAATGCTTTCTGTAAATATCACAACAGAAAGGGTCATGCCACCAATGCCTGCAGGGCCCTGCAAACAGCAATTGAGGATCTGATCCGAAGGGGCCATCTGGGCAAATATGTGAACAAAGATCCGAATGCAATGGGCATGTTAAAACCGGCCAGGAAACCTAACAGCTGGCGCCGGGATGCTCAACGTGACGCCCAGCCTCAGAATGATGTGTATGTTCCTCCCAGAGATGAGCCAGAGGGCTCGGGAGGCCCCGGAAAGAAGCCTCGAATGGAGGTCAAGGTCATATTTGGCGGCGGGGAGACCGGAGATTCGAACGCCGAACGGAAAAGGTTCGAGCGGAGTCTTTATGTGGGGTCCGTCTCCGCTCCCCCCAGAAGAAAGGAAGGACAGACCCGATCACGTTCGGGCCAGCTGATCTACCCAACTCTCCAAGCCCCCACAGGGATGAACTGGTGGTAAGCATGTGTATTGACAATGCTTTAATCCGCCGAGTGTTGGTCGATACTGGGAGCAGTGTGAATGTATTGTATCTACAATCATTCGAGAAAATGGGTCTGCAAAGGAGCAACCTGACCCACCCGCGGACTCCACTGGCGAGTTTTACCGGTAACTGCATCGAGGCGGAAGGGACCATCCAATTGATGGTTGAAATTGGAGATGAAACCCACAGAGCGTCACTCCAAATGACGTTCGTGGTGGTAGATATAAAGTGCGCCCATAATGCCATTTTGGGCCGATCGGGATTGGAAGATCTGGAGGCAATAGCCTCTGTCCGCCACTCATGCATCAAATTCCCCACAGACACTGGGGTAGGGGTGGCCAGAACTGACCCAACAACAGCCCGGACATGTTATCGGGAGGCCCTGAAACAGATGAACACTCGTGGGATGCGGGTGAATACAATTGAGGTGGAAACCCACCGAACGGAGTTCGAGGCACACCCGGAGCCCGCCACCCTTCTTGAACAAATCGACCTCGACTTCCCCCCGAACCGTAAGGTCGCTATCGGGGTAGATCTGGAGGCAGATATCCGGGATGGCGTGATTGCCGTCCTCAAAAAGTTTCAGGTGCTATTTGCCCGGGGGCCAGAAGATATGCCCGGCATTGATCCAGAAATAATATGCCACAAACTTGCCGTTCGGTATCAAGCGACCGAACGACGGGAATTCACCAAGAAGGAAGTGGCCACTTTGCTGAGGATAAAGCATATCCGTCCGGTAATCCACTTAGAATGGCTATCCAATGTGGTTCTAGCCCCAAAACAATCTACCTGGAGAATGTGCGTGGATTACTCCGATCTGAATAAAGCATGCCCCATGGATCCCTACCCAGTGCTGAGGATCGATCTGCTAGTGGATGAGACTGCTGGGTGCGAGTTACTGAGCTTCATGGATGCTTTCCTGGGTTATCATCAGATATTCATGCACCCGGCCGATGCAGAGAAAACGGCGTTTGTTACTTCGGATGGCATGTTCTGCTACATCGTCATGCCATTCGGATTAAAGAACGCGATGGCAACCTTCCAGAGGATGATCGGGATGCTGTTTAAAGATGTGCTGGGTGTCACAATGGAAGCCTACGTTGATGACATCCTGATCAAGAGCAAAAAGAAGGAAAACCATGTCCTGGACATAGAAAAGGTGTTCGGGATAATGCAAAGGGCGAATATGAGGCTGAATCCCAAGAAATGTGCGTTTGCTGTAAGAGGAGGCACATTTTGGGGTACATGATGAGCGAGAAGGGGATTGAGCCCAATCCAGAAAAAGTAAAGGCCATTGTGGACATGGAGGCTCCGAGGAATCTCAAGGAAGTACAGAGATTGACCGGTCGGCTAGCAGCCCTGAGCAGATTCCTATCAAAACTGGCCGATCGAGCTATCCCGTTTTTCCAAATCATGAAGAAAGCCAACCCTTTCGAGTGGACGGCCGAATGCCAAACGGCCTTTGAGGATTTCAAGACATATCTGTCTTCCCCCCTGGTCTTGACAAAGCCCGAACCGGGGGAACATCTGTATATGTACCTGGCTGTAGTTGACTTGGCCGTAAGCACGGTACTGCTGAAAGAAGAAGATGGCGTTCAACGGCCAATCTATTTTGTGAGCAAGGCGTTGAACGGCCCGGAAACCAGGTACACCTTGCTAGAAAAGAATATACTGGCCCTGATAGCTGGCATTAAATGCCTGGCCCCGTATTTCCAGACCCACCCGGTAACTGTATATACTACCCAGCCATCAGCCACCATCTTGAGAAATCCTATGGCAAGTGGGCGCATTACCAAGTGGAGTCTCCTGATCGGGCAGTACGAGGTAGATTTCAAACCCCGGCCTACTATCAAAGGGCAGGCCCTGGCAGATTTCATTGCAGAATGTACCGCCCGGCCCTCAGAAAAAGATTCAGAGAACAACGGGCTGGATAACTGGTGGGAAATGTATGTGGATGGAGCATCTAGTGCCAAAGGTTGTGGAGCTGGAGCTGTGATCACATCGCCCGAGGGGTTCAAAGCATATTATTCCATTCATTTTGATTTCAAGGTGACCAACAATGAGGCTGAATATGAGGCTCTCATTGCTGGTTTAAAGTATGCAAGGGCCCTGGGCGCCGATCGGTTAAAAGTGAGATCGGACAGTCAACTGGTGGTACATCAAGTGAACGGCACGGCTGAGGCCAAAGAAAAAAGGATGAAGGCATACAAGGAAAT